ATGTAAAAGCAACATATTAAACAAAAAAATCTATGCTCAAGCAAGATTTGAACTGATTAAGTAAATAAGGCTTCAATAAAATTTAAATAATCTGTTAGTGGTTTCTTACTGGTATTGTTCAGATATTTTAAAATGGAGCTCTATAAAGCTTAGAAACAACTATTAACTGACCTGTTGTAGAGTTGCTTTTTAAATAAAAAAAAGCTTCATTCAGACCAGATTGACAAGCTATTGTCTAGTTTGAGCAGGACCAAGACTAAAAAAGGGGTTGTTGTCATCTTAAAACAATTTCAGTCGAAAATAAATATATAAACAAACAGTGGTTTGTTTAAGAGCTATTTTATAATTTTGCATTATGTTAGAAACATTTTAATTAGTGCTTGGCACATTAACACATTATTATCGTATTAACGCAGCTGACACTTAACGACAATGATTGTTTTAACGCAGTTGTTTTTATTTATTTTGGTTATGAACACACACACACATACTTATTGGGAGCAGGTGGGCAGGGTGTTGATCACTACTGGCTTTAGATTGGCGCCTTTTAAATCAAACTTTTTCATTTCATTAAAAGCATTAACCCTGGGTTAATGAAACTATTCAGAATTTAAAGAAAAACTGCCATAGGGTGGAGCGATTATGGAAATCAAGTAAACTTGAGGTTCATAAGGAATTCCTTCAATGAATCCATTAAAAATGCTAGAACTCAGTATTTTACTCAGTTGATAACTTCCAGTAAAATAAATCCTGAGAGGCTGTTTGACACCATTTATTCCATTGTTAACCCTTCAGTACCCCAAGCTCATGCAGCAACCAAAACAGATTGTAATAATTTTCTCAAATAATTTGTTGATAAGGTCAGTGATGTTAGGGGAAATATCTCCCCATCAACATCTTATAATCCTCCTTGTGACCCGTTTCGTGGGCTTCTTTTGAACCAATGTCATTCCCAAATCTCTCTGCTCTAGTGGATAAAATGAAGCCATCCTCATGCTCCACCGATTTTTTTTTCTTACGGCACTATTTAAAAAGGTTCTTTAATACTATTGGTCCTACTATTACTGATCTTTCTAATATGTCACTTTCAACAGGTGTGGTTCCCAGTTCTTTCAAACATGCTATTGTTGAACCTGTACTAACAAAACCCAACCAACAGATTTAAAACACTTCAGACTGATGTCTATATTGCCATTTGTATCAAAAAATATTCAAAAAAAGTTGTAGGAGAGCAATTGTCCATCTTTTTAGAAAACAATGTGATATTTTGGACATATTTCAATCAGGTTTTTGCAAAGCTCACTCCACAGAAACAACCTTATTAATGGTTTCTAATGACATTTTTTTATGACAGCCGATTCAGGACACTACACAGTTCTGGATTTACTGGACTTGTATCAACTGAAATCATATTGGATAATCCGGTTCTGTTTTTGAGCGGTTCTCATCGTACATGTCAGATCGTTTTAATGTCTCAGAAACCTCAGAAAATGTAAATATTTCTTGTCAAAAGCTGAACTTGAAATGGCCATTCTTGCATTGATTTCTTCTTGTTTGGACTATTGTAACAGCCTACTCACACAAGAAGGAGCTGGACCATCTTCAGGTTGTCCAGAACTCTGCTGCAAGATTGTCAACTCACATAAACAAACGAGCTCACACATCGCACCTGTTTTAACTCTTCACTGGCTCCCAGTTTATTTTAAAATTAATCTTTGAATTCTGGTTTTAACTTTTAGAACCTTACATGAACAAGGGTCCTCATATAATTCAGATTTGATCCAGCTTCATACACCATCTCGCAGTTTGAGGTCATCAGGTGAGAGGTTGTTGGTGATAACCATTTTAATTCCCGAGGGGATCGGCCTTCCCAAGCAGCACTGCCCCAGTCTATATGCAGCCTTGATTCTATTGATGCTTTTAAAAAAATCTGAATATTTTCTTTTACAGACAGACTTTTAGCTGTTATCTTTTTTCTACCACTTTTTTTACTAGTACTTTTGTATGAATGTGATGCTTTTGTGATACTTTGAAAAGTATTTTTATTTTATTTTTCTTGATTCTACTGTGAAGCACTTTGTGATTTTACATCATGTCAGTAATAAAAACAAAAACAACAACAACAACAAGGAATAAGAGATAAACAATAAGAAGATAAAAATAATCAAGATTAATCATGATTAAATAAATTAATCTATGCCCAGCGCTAATTTTAATATTTCTTCAAGAAGTGGCTTCTGGCTTTACCCAAGTTTCTACAGCTAGCTGTTTCTGCTGGTAGTGAAGCTTGTAAAATGATTTTGACCACAGTCAGACAATAAATCTCACTTCAAATGATTTCAGCTATTTTTTTTTATATTTAAAAATAACATTTCCTCAGAGTGACCAAAATCACAAATGTTTAATTTTTGAACATTTTAAACGTATTGAAACACATTGCAGAGTAAACGGC